ACCCACTTCTCACTACTTATGTTATAAATAAGTCCTATGTAATTGAGATGAGCTCATTGCCATATACCGGCCAAAATTCCAGACTCTGTGCTACTACTGAGATTTTTTTTTTAAAACCCAATAATACTTTTATCGACACGGGAATCGAACTCGAGACCCCTTGCCCGGTCGAGTCGCACTTGCGACAACGACGACTACTCGACCTACGAGGCAGTCTCGTTAGTTGAGTAGTAAATATGTAGATTGTAGCTTACGTTAGGTATTGGTAAAGATATAATGGTGTTGCGTGTCATCTCAAGATGATGGTGGTGGTCCCGGAATTGGCTTTAGAGAGGTAAAAAATCCTTAAGGATAAATGCTAGGGATCTAGTATTTACTAAACTAAATCTAAATACTAGATCTGTAGTATTTATCCTTAAAAGCTAGACACCTTTTGAAGGTTTCATAAAAAAATCGTATCGAATTGATTGTGCTCAACTGTTTTTTTTATTTTTTAAACATTGCTCCATACTAGGATTTTCTCCTGAGTCGTGGGTGCGTTTACAAACATATAAGTTCACATACATATGACACCCAGACAACAACAATCTGTGGATTATACAAAGAATTGTTCCGTGCGGGAATCGGACCCGCGATAGGTTGCCCGGCAGCCAGTTGCCCAGCCACCCTGCCAACCGTCGTTGGATATACACAACTAAATACCACATAATATACAACAAAACCCCGGTATCTAATAATGGCAACGAGTCTAGTAAAATGTAAAGTAAATGTAACTACGGATTAGTGGTTACCCAGAAATCATTCATAAAGTACCATTCAATGAGGTTTTCCTCGAATTATTTGTTTTATATCTATATTTATAATCCTCTTAGCCTATATTATCTGTTGTTTCAATTTGATTGAAAAGCTGGCAAACATTTGCTGTAAAAATTACTTAGGTTTACTAGGAAATCATTTTAATGCATGTATGGGTTCTTTCGGGTACTTAGTAAAACACCAATTATATGAATTACCAGAATGAGAATGATTTTGAATTTATTTAGGCGGTCATATTTATACAAAATTAACTTAAGGCTACATAATAATAATTTATACAAAATTAACTTAAGGCTACATAATAATAATAATAATAAGCCCCCTCAATTCCAACCTTACGTCCAAGCTGAACACCTAGCTTACGTGGGGGGCGGACACGCGTACTGTACAACTGTACAGGAATAAAAACATACGCGGCTAACAAGGCAAGGGTAACCCAACATGGAGAGATGAGTAAAAGAGAGTATAATTTGCGGCCGCTTCCCGGGGGTCGCCGGGGCGCATCTGGAGCCGGTGCTGGATGCCACAGCATGCGAACCATCGGTGGTGCGGAGTTGAGCAAGCGGGCTCCCACCAAAAAACAGGTTACAGCTGGTCGTTGTGAGTTGACCAGGCGGGCTTACAGCGAAGAAGCTACAGCCGATGCCACGGGCGATGATACCATTTCTTTATTTTCATCCATCCCTTCAACTCGCCCCTCATACATGACTAGAAGTAAGTCTACCTTGTCAACCACAACTACACTTGACAGCGTTGTGCGAGATGTCAACTTTGACAATGAACTTGCACCCGCTACAAGTGTCTCAAACAAGCGTATGCGATGGACACCTGAAATGAATATGTTCATTCTACGCACTTATTTTCATTTAACTTTATTAGACACAGACAAACGAACCTATCTCGAACCACTTCACTTAAAATTTATAGAACAATTCCCAGACATGCAGGTTAGCCGACAGAGAGTAGGAGATCAACGCAGAGCAATCATAAATAACAAGCTTCTACCACAAAAAACAATAGATACCATACGAAACGAAGTAGAGAGGGAGCTTGGGCAACTACAACTAAATCACATTAACATACACTCAGAAAATATTACAGATCATACACAGCGCATACGCCCGCAATTACAAACACACCCTAGAACTACAGAAATAAATATATCACAAAGTAAAACACAGTCTCGAATGAGATGGACAAACGAACACAACGAAGGTATAATGCGGTCTTATTATAGAGTTACAGATTTAGGCAGAAATGAAACAATGTACAGAAAACGTATGTACGATGATTTCATTAGTAATTACCCTTCACTAGCCCACCTAAGCGAACAAAGAATAGCTGATCAGAAGAGAGCAATAATTAATAACAAATACATTAGTGATGCTAAATTAAATGCATTAAAAGCACAGGTAGCTGAAGAACTTCTTTCACCTAATACTAATTTGTACGATAATACAGATAGAGTCACATATAGCGTTAATATAAACAACCCAAATACACGGTTACCAAATGATACTGAAATTTATTCTACAAACGAAGCTATACTTAATACACAAACATCGGACAACACTCATAATGACACTTCAGAAGATGTCGTACATAACGATCAAATTGTCTCTGAAAGAGATGCTTTGATTGACGAAACTTTTCAACAAGCTCTCGAACACTTTAAAAACACCAGCCCCACCAACAGAAGTTATATCCCAAAACAGAAGCCGTCTAAGAACCTAGCAAGAGTAATTACCTACTTGAACCAAATCATTCTCTCAGAAAACGTCAATAAAGACACTGACTTCAATGCATTGCAAACAGTCATATATTGTGCCGCTTGGACTGCTGCTAAAGTAAACGGATCTAGGATAACACTGACACCGCGAGAAACACCTCTAGTCCCGAAAACAGAATACAAGCCAAAATGGCAACGTAGATTAGAACGAAAATTAAAAGACTTACGAACAAAAATAGGCAGATTAACACAATTTATAAATGGTAATAGTAGTAGGAAATTAAGGAAACAAGCAAACAAAATCATAAGACATCACAGAATACACACCGTACATGAAGAACCTAACACACAACCTATACACACCCTTGACACATTGAAACAAAAACTCTCCGTCGTAAAAGGACGACTTGAAAGGTACAAAGCTTGCACTCTTAGAAAACAACAAAACATCCAATTTAATTATAATGAGAAGCTCTTCTATCGCAACATCAGACAGGCAACCACAAATAATAATCACAGCAATACCTTACAAGACAGTGCAAATAATACACCAGATCCAGATACAGTGCAACACTTTTGGGCAAGTATATGGGAAAACCCTATTTGCCATAACTCCAATGCAGAATGGGTACAATCAGACTTGTCTAACAATATACAGCCCATGACATTTGAGCATGTTTCTGCAGAAATATTCCACAAAGTCCTCTCCAGGTTACAT